GAGCGCAAACAAGATATCTCTCTTCGGCAGGCACCGAGCCGCACCTTGTGACTCTCAAAAGCCGGGCATCCCACAGTCCCACAGGTCACTCGCAAAAAGCGGCAGCCGTCGCAGCACGTCTTGGCCTCAGTTTCTTGATCCGAACCTTGTTTCTTCATTTTTCCTGCAGGCACCCGAAGTTCTGAGCTTTGAGAGCCCAAGTCCAGAGGCGATCGGGGCATTGAAGCATGCGCTTCACAAACTACACGGTGCATGGGCACATCTGGTGCTGTAGACGCGCGCAGGATCGAGCGCCTTGCGAATGGGCACCAGAATGTCTCAGTCCGTGCATGGATGCTGACGAGAGTGCAGGGCGCCTAGTGTGAGTGCCTAACGTCACGGACGAAATGCACGCCGCTCCGGCGCGCTGGGTGCAAGGACGCAGCCCTTGATCAGATTCAGGGGGTCACCAGATTCTCCTTGACTCGAGGTCGAATTGCTCGAGTGAGCGGGCGTCATTTGGAGCCGATGAGTTTTACAGCGCTTTTTGCGTGTCCCCAATTTGACCTCCAAGGAACCTTTGATTGAGTCGAATTCTGAGGTTCAAAGGTCCGGTTTCACCGGGAGACTTGGCGAGAGCCAAGCAACACACGGTCAGGCCGGAGCTTGCTGAAAATCGGCACAGCTGGTCCACCCGATCCGGTCTAGCGCAAGCTAGCTGGTAGGCCGGACGTTCTTTTCAGGATGGTGTTCATTCTCGCCCCCGTGTGCGCATGGAGGTTTTATTTGTTACGAGGGTATTTAGTTAGCATGAGAGTGGTTCATTCTCACAAGTCGACGCATCAAATCTGGTCCTTATTTGATACTTTCCGAGGTTTTCGTCGTCCAATGCGCATGCGGTTGAAGACGTGTACAGTGGGCATGCATCTCAATTCGTTTGCTGACATCCTTTCGTCTCACCACACAACCTCAGCTTCGCTACGTGGCAGCGTTCCATCGCTCCGGCCGGGCCCCAAGAAAGTCCGTTCTTAGAAGAAGAGAAGATGTGCAAATAAGGAGAGAACCACGCAACCTCTTGTACTCACCAGAGAGTTTCTCAGAAATCATTTTTTCGGGGGCTGGGGGGGGGCCTTGCGGTTTGTCACCAATAAATATGCGTTTGAATAGTTGGAACTTCCTGAAACAGCTTGAACCCAAATGCAGGCATCCAACTGCTATCCACGCAAAGAGAGTACAAATACTCAGTATATATATATATATACTCTGATTCGACGGCATGTGCGGGACTGGTGCCGTGCGGTGCCTCAGGTCGATGCCTGTCTGAGGGTCTCCTTTGAGCCCAGAAATGGGCCAGTAGTCAATACCAAGTCTGCCGCACATTCCCAGCAGTTTCCAGCCATTTGCTTTAGTGTTGCTTTTTGCCTACTGTTTGTTTCAGTCTTTGCCTTTAGGGATTCGGCCTGTGTCAATGCCTGCTACAAGCAGCTGAGGCAGCGCCGCCAGGGAAAAGGGAAAGTGGGGGGCGGGGCTTTTGGAGAGGCGCTTTGCTACTGAGATATTGGGGGAAGGTTGCATTGTTTGGATTCCCTCGGTTGATAATCTAGCCCTACATGGGGGATGGTTGATATCCCCCTTTTTTGGAGAAGTTTAGCTTGCGACAAAGCAGCGACTATTTTTGGCAGCGTTCCATTGTTTGGTTTTTGAAGGTAGTTTGACCCAGGCGAGGGTGGCGTCCCCAAAAAGGAATGTGATACGTCCATCGATATTTTTGCATTCTCGGCATGATTGTTTAATTGCTTCGTCATTGCTTTGTTCGTCTTGTTTTGCTTCCGCTGTGCTTCAGTCGAGAGAAAAGGACTCTTGGGGTAGTTGCCACCCTCATCATTTTGGCTGGCGCTCGGGGGTGCAATGGAGGCTGTGAAGTTTCCTCCAGAAACCCTTGTGGATAAACCACCCTTGCTGTGCATACAGGGGTGGGCCTCGAGATCAAAACAGCTGCGCCCCTCATTTCGTTCGCACTTGTCGGTGCGGTGGCATGGTCTGGAAACCTCGTGCGCTCTGGACTTCTTGAAGTCAACCTGAACCAGAATGCCGGAGGCGGAAGGATCAGGTGGTGGAAAAGGTTCATCATCGGAGGTGAACGCTGGACGGGCCGACAACTACGTGCCAATCTTCAATGGCAAGCAGCGCGACTACCGCGAATTCAGGAAGAGATGTGAAATCTACAAGAGAACATACAACATCATCACGATGCTGCAGGGCAAGGCTTGGGACCTCGTGGAAGACCTGGACATCACGTCCCTAGGTGAGGCTGATGGCTACGACAAGATGTTCGCTTGCCTGGACAGCGGATTCAAGTACGATCCCATGACGGAGCTGCCAGACGACTTTGAGAACTTCTTTGTCAAGCTCCAGCGGAGGCCAGAGCAGACCTTGCAGGAGTATTCGGCCGACTTCGCCAGAGCCCATCGGAAGCTGAGGTCATCGCACAAGGTGGAGCTGCCGGAGAAGGTGCTGGCCTGGTGGTTCATCAGAAAAAGCGGCATCACGCGGGAACAACGTCAGATGGTGCTCACAACCATGGGCACCGAGAAGATGACCGTGGAGGCCGCCCAGGAAGCCATGTTCTTTATCGTCGGCCAGGACTCCAAGTCAGAGAGTTCGGGAAGATGGAACCGAGGACCCAGGAAAGAGATCTTCTACGCTGGTGAAAGCTGGGGCCCGGAAGAACCTGAGGATGAAGACTTCCCGAGCAACTACTTGGATGTGCACTTCCTGAGCGAGGACGAGGGCTGGTTGGACTTCGACCAGGACTATTACGACCAACCCGCCGAGGACTACGGTGAGGCGGTGGAGGTCTACGACGTTGACGAGTGTGACGACGTGTGCTCGGCCTACGTTGATGCGAAGAACAAGATGAATCAGATGCGAACGGCCAGAGGCTTCTTCCCCGTGGTCGCGATGATTGGCGTCGGCGGTGGCAGCTATGGCAAGAAGGATGGCCGCAAGGGCAGTGGAAAGAAGTTCAAGGGCAGACCCAAAGGACCAGGACCAGGAGGAGGAAAGGGCAAGCAGATGCCGAAGCCAGGACCGAGCTCACCTTCTGGAAAGGCCCGTGGACGTGCTGCTCTTGGGAAACAACTATGCCTTCGATGTGTCCAACCTGGACATTGGGCACGGAACTGTCCTTAGAGTGGCAACGGCGAGAAGCGGAAGCGGCTCGATGACGATGCCGAGGACATCAACATGGTCGAGAACGTGGATGCCCAGAGATGGCGGTGCAGGTGCTCTCCTCGGATCGAGGCACCAGGTGAAGAAGTACATCAAGTACCTGGTGGAGAAGGGTGTTGACATGGCGGAGGTGGAGGTGTATCCATGCACCAAAGGCTTTCGCTATGGCAATAGCCAGATGGAGGCGACCAAGACCTGCGTGGTGCCGACCTACATGGGTGGGAAGAAACGCAAGATGCTGGTCTACGTCATTGGTGGAACAGCCCCCACCCTGGTTGGACGCCCCGTGCTAGAGAAGATGGGCATCGCGGTGGACTACGGCAAGAACATGATGAGATGGCCGGATCGTGAATGGCATGCGATAAAGGTGGGACCGAAAGGTGAACACTCGCTGCATCTTGCAGAGGACATCAAGGAACTGAAGGACGCGGAAGTGGCGGAATACCTCATCCCCGAAGGCGCCGAAGGTCATGTGGACTTCAAGAGCAACCTTGGAGTGCAGGCGTTGCTGGTGGCTGAGGACGACAACCTGGAAGAGTCTTACGCGGTCGAGCCAGGGACCGTTCCAATGGACATGGACGACGTCGTGGATGAAGGAGTGTCCAAGGAGCCGAGCCAACAGAAGGGCTTGATGCCGGTGGCATCGAAGACCCGTGACCGAGAAGGCAACGAACGCGGAATCTAAGAAGGTGAAGTTCGTTGGGGTACGCATGGACGAGAATTCATCATTGAAGACGAGGAAGCTAACTACGCCTATGCTTCGGAAGATGATCAGAGAAGCCGAGGAGGTTGTGTCCAGCAGGAACAAGATATTGCGGATGGCAAGGACATGCGAGAAAGGCAAGCCGATCCGTAAGATCTGGGAGCTCTTCGTTGGCGAAGGCCGCGCCAGCAAGGGCAAAGTTAGGGGAAACTCTGATGGAGGCTCGTAGCGGTACTGACGTGCAAATCGTTCGTCATATGTGGGTATAGGGGCGAAAGACTAATCGAACCATCTAGTAGCTGGTTCCCTCCGAAGTTTCCCTCAGGATAGCTGGAGTTGAACAGTTTTGTCAGGTAAAGCGAATGATTAGAGGAATCGGGCTGCCAGAAGAAGTTCATGGAGCTGGTGAAGCGGGAAGAGCCAGACGAGATCCTGATGGCGCCGATGTGTCGATTGTGGTCGCCCACGCAAGAGCTATACGCCTGCCGTGGTGAATGGGAGAACCAGCAGTTGGTCAAGAATCGCACCGAAAACCATGACAATGTGCTGATGTTTGTGAGAGAGGTCTACTTGGAGCAGTACCAGAATGCCCGAGAAGCAACGCTGGAACATCCCTGGTTGAGCAGAGCATGGAAGACGAAAGCGTGGTGTGACCTGCCAGGACACATGGCCTACGTGGACCAGTGTATGTACGGCCTGAGTGGGGTGTGATGGTGCCCTCCAAGAAGCCGACCTGCTTTTGGACGACCAAGAAGTCTTTGGCAGATGGACTTGCAAAATGGTGCAGTGGTGATCATCAGCACCAACCACTTGAAGGACATGCCCCGGATGCTTGCGAAAAGGCTGGCAAACCTGATGGCTGTTGTCCCGGTGGTAGATGACGTGATGGCTGGAGAGGATGCTGAAGAGTTCAAGGACGAGAAAGATGTGATCAAAGCCGATGATGAGCAGGCAGATGCTCAGAAGAGAGGATGAGTCGATCAAGAAGAATCGACGGCTGCGAGCAGAAGTTGGGACCGCAAGCCTTCAACTACGTGAAGCGGCTACACAAGACCTTGGTCATCCTGCCCCCGATGTGCTTTGTCAAATGCTCAACGAGGTGCAGGCGACCGACACGGTGCTGAAGGCGGCGAAGAACTGCCTCTGTCCAAGCTGTGTGGCTCGGACCAAGCCTGGTGGAGCGCCTCCCGCATCTGGACTGACGGCCAAAGAGTTCAACGATCGCATCGTGGTGGATTCAGCGTGGATCAACACCGACACGGGCCGGAAGTGTGTGCTGACCATTCTGGATCAAGCAACGAGGTATGTGGCGGTGCGCATCTTGAAGGCCGAGCGTGCGGAGGAGCTCATCAAGGGCATCGAGCGGGCTTGGATCAAACAGTTCGGAGTTCCTCGCTTTTTGGACATGAGGCGAAGGGCTGGGCTAGTCGGATGCTTCGGGGCTGGGCCAGCGACAAGAACATTGCCCTGGAGATTGCGCCGGCGGAGGCACACAATTGGCTCGGTGCAGTGGAGAGAAAGCACCAGGTCATTCGGAGAGCGCTGGAGTTCATGGAGGACGCCAACAACAAAACGGAGAAAGGGCTGCTACAAGCCTCGATCTATGTCCCGGGCCAGGTGAACGCGATGAGCATGACGCGTGGCTTCACGCCAACTCAGTGGGTGATTGGGAGAAGTCCCAACCAAGTACAATCGGTCACCGGCGACCTGTTCACCCCGACAGTTGACGCCTTGGATGCAGCTGGTGAGTTTGCCAATGTGCAGAAGAAGCGGCTGGCAGCTCAGACGGCGTTCATACGCGCAGACAGCGATGCCAAGCTCAGGCGGGCCATGAACCAGAACTACCGGCAGATCAAGGACACGGTGGTGGTTGGACAGGTGGTCTACTGGCGGGAGAAGGGAGCCGGAATCTTGCAGAAGCAGAAGTGGCGTGGACTGGCAAGAGTGGTGGCCATCGAGCAGGATAACAAGGATCGCGATGCCGTGATTTGGCTGGCGCATGGACCCTCCCTGCTGAGGCGCGCTACGAATCAGGTGCGGCCCCGCGTTGAGGACACCGGAATTCCTTTGATCTCCGACCCCAACGCGGCGCTGAAGGCGAGAAGTACCACGCAGTTCAAGGATGTTTACCGTCCTGAGTTGCCGGGAGACGAAGAAGAAGATGACATCGAGGAGCTCGACGCCGAGTATGAACCGGAAGAACCTGGAGAGCCAGGTGAATCACCCGAGGTGGATGAGAGCATGTTGCTGGGCATCGTGGTTCCTTTGATCCGGAGCCGAGAAGGGCGAGCGGGTCAGAACCGATGTCTCGTGAGCGAACACCTCGGCGAGATGCCAGTGAACCAGAACCAGCGCCACCATCTGAAGTCAGTGGAGAAGCAGGTGGACAAGAAGACGGGCGTGAGAGAAAGGAGAGTGACCGACCTGAACCTGATGTGCCCGTACCCGAAGACGGTCATCATCGATGACATCACCTTCGTCGATGGCATGGACCCTGATGTCCCGGATGGCTGTGTCATGGTCGGCGGAGATGGAGGAGCTCGAGAATTACTTCCGCAACAAGGTCTGGAACTTTGCGGAGGCGAGCCCGGGCGATGAGTCGCGGATTGTGTCAACACGGTGGGTGCTGACATGGAAGGTCACGGAGAATGGTCCGAAGGCAAAGGCACGGCTTGTGCTGCGCGGATACCAGGACCCGGACCTGATTGGGCTGGAGAAATCAGCGCCAACGGCAGGGCGACTTGGGAAGGTCTTCCTCATGCTCTTTGTGCAGAACCTGGACTGGCTGATGTTCGTTGGGGACGTTCAGCAGCTTTTCTGTCTGGAGCAAGCTTCGACCGGAAGATCTTCGCCAAGCTGCCTGCGGACTGTAGTGCTCTACTTGGAGTACGTGGACAAGCCTACATGCGGCTGCTGAAAAGCGCATATGACCTTGCGGATGCGCCATTGCTGTGGTGTCGGGAGGCAAAATCCCGAGTGGAGGTGCCACAGACTGGACAAGTGTTGCTTCATACTACGGCAAGGCCGACTACGCGCTGAAGGTCATCCTCATCATGCACGTCGATGATGTGATGTGCACCCAAGCTCGTGAACCGGAAGCAGATGCTGTGGTCGAGGAAGTGCGCAAGAACTTTGACTTCGGCAAGTGGAAGAAATTGTCGGAGAAGAACCCTATCACCTACTGCGGATGCCAGATCAGCATTCAACACGGTGAGATCAACCTGGATGCGGAGGAGTACCTCAAACAGGTCAAGCCGATCACTGTGGACAAGAACGGAACCGGCGACATGACGGACCGGGAAGTTTGGGGCACTTCAATGGCCAGCAGGACAGGTGTCCCCACCTCTCTGTGCTACCACGAGCATCCTGGCGGGTGGTCTCAGCAAGGGCAAGGACGGAGCTCAACAAGGGGCTGAGGTTTGCCAAGGCGACAGCTGGGGTGCGTCTGAAGTTCCCAAGAATGGTGAATAACCTGGACGAGCTGTGCTTTGTGGTGTTTTCCGACGCGGCGTTTGGCATTCGTCGGGACTTCAGCTTGCAAGGTGGCTACATCCTGGTGGCGGCAAACAAGAAGTTGCTGGACGGTGAGTGCATGCGGTACACAACCCTGGCATGGAGGTCATTCAAGCTGGACAGGGTGTGCCGGAGTTCGCTTTCCGCAGAAAGCCAAGCATGTGCGACGGCGACGGACGAGCTGATGATCACCAAGCTCTTCTACTCCCTCATGCTCGATCCTGACCAAGATCTGAGATCTGGCGAGATGGTGAAGAAGGCGGGTCAGAGTGCGGTGGTGATTGATGCTCGGGCGTTATACGACGCGACCACGCGGGACACGATCAAGAACGTTGTGGACAAGCGGGCTGCTGTGGAAATCCTGTGCATTAAGGAGGCGCTTGAGTTCACCGGCAGCGAGATGTGGGTGAGCTCAGAGAGACAGCTGGCGGATGGGCTGACAAAGCTGTCAGCAAGGCAGTCACTGGCCGATGCGCTGGGCGGTGGCTACATTCAACTGGTCTTTGACGAGACCTTCACAGCGGCGAAGAAGAAGACCCACAAGGAGCGGAGTCAGCAAAGCCAGGTGGTGCGCGGAAGCGCGGTGGCGAACTATGTGAAGGCCATGTGTGTTTGTCACCATTTTGGTGATGAAGCTCGTCAAGGCAGAGAAGAAGAGCATGCGAGAAATGGAGACGCAGACCGAACGGTGGGAGCTTGAGAATGTGAAGAGTGAGAATGCCTTCCTGAGAGGAAGATGCCAGACCCTGGAAAGGCAGGGAGTCGTCGCTCGGGCACCTCGCCAAATCGTGATCACGCCGACCGGAGAGAAATTCCACCGGTCGGGATGCGGGCGTGTAAAGCAGCGAAGCCGAATCCTAGACGCGCGCAGAGACTGCATCGGCGGCTAGGTTTTCTACCTTTTTGGGCGTGTGAAGTTTCCTCCAGAAACCCTTGTGGATAAACCACCCTTGCTGTGCATACAGGGGTGGGCCTCAAGATCAAAACAGCTGCGCCCCTCATTTCGTTCGCACTTGTCGGTGCGGTGGCATGGTCTGGAAACCTCGTGCGTTCTGGACTTCTTGAAGGAGGCCATTTAGCCTGTGGTGTGGAACATCAGCAGCGAGCCAATGCATGAGTCGGTGGTGCACCCGAGTATGAATCTCCGCAACATCACGCAGGTGCTCGGGAAGAAGACCGGCATCCCTGCCGAGTACCAGTGCCTCCTCCTAAACAACAACGCTCTCAATTACTGGCTGATTTTGGCAGAACAAAGCGTGCCATGTAACGCTTCGCTGGTGCTGGTAGCGCAGACGCCTGACGAGGCGGACGTAAGGTCTAAAGGAAGTTTAGGCGAGTTCCTTTGATCTGTCAGGGCTTGAATATGCAATACTCTACCGCAGTAAATTTCACTATGCCACACTATAGCATATTCCGTGGCATGCTAACCTGCGCAACCCTAGGGTGAGCCGTGTGCTGAAACCGTTTTAGGGTAGTTTTTGCGGTTCGTTCTAACCTACAAAAAGAGCGAATGCATATACGCTGGAAACGGAGGTTCTGTGGGATTCGCGTACGCTTCAAGCCTTCCCTAGACTGCAGAGTCATCCGTTACTGATACAGTTCGGTCTCCCTTAGGTTCTAGCTCTAGCAGCACCGTGAGACTCTCAGACGTAGAACCCTAAGCCCGTTTCGGGTTTAGTGACACCCTAAATTTTACAAGGGGCTTAGGGCGGGCCGAACCCCTAAACCCTGAAACCTAGATCCAACTGCCCCAAGTCCAAACCAAACTCTACAGCCTAAGGCCACTACCTTGAAGCCAAACTTGAGCTCTAAGCCCTAGCCTTGTACTATGATTCCTTTGAACCCCCCCCAACAAACAAACCTTTGAACCCAACGCCCAATATCCCCAATCCAAAACCTCGAGCCCCAAACCCCCCGTGCTTTGAGTGCCTTGAAGGGTTCCCAGTTTTGGCGCACGCACAAACACACATTCATAGATTCGAGGGAAATAGCTACATGCCCTGGGAATGTGCCCCGTCCAGAATATTCGCTTTTAACTGGAGGTGCCAGCCTAAACATTTTTGAGTCATCTGTTGCCACGCAAACAGGTGCACTTAGCCAATTCCGTTGATTCATTGACTGATTGGATGCATGTTTGCAATACCCGGATGTCTTTCAAAAACCAAGAGGGCAGGGGTTCCCATACCCGTTTAGAAGCAAACAATTATTTTGTGGGGGCTTGGCGAGACTTGGACCATCCGGTGCCGTTTGCACAGCTCAACAACTGGGCGATGGGTCTCAAGCGAACAAACTTGAACACCTCAGACCTGCAGCACACGGAACTTGCCTCGTTCCCTTGCCGCAATGGTGAAGAACAAAAGCTCCAAGAACAAGAAGGAGCCGGCTGCGCATCTGCCTGGGAGTTCAAGTCCAGTTGTATTGGCTTGGGAATCTGGCAAACCCGCAGGCTGACTGGCCATAGTACTAGTACTGTCCGGACTAGACCGCATGTGCCTCCTATGTAGTCGCACAAATGTGTTTTAGCAAAAGCTTGTCTCTGAGAATCTTGGATCAAAACACGGCTTGTAGGGGGATGAATCTTCAGCGACCCTGTTCCTGTGGTCCTGTGGTCCAACCCCCCCTCGTGGTATCCTAGTCCCCAAGCCAGCCATTCTACACAGGCCAAGGCCCGCTCTAGACCGTGCCCAGACATGCCCAGACATGCCACAGGGAGAAAAGCTCATGGAGAAGTAATGCCGATTTTCCACACGGCTCGCCAGGCCAAGAAGGTGAAGGAGGGTGAGGCGCCGCCAAACGGAGCGTTTCCGCTGCGGCGACGTTGGGTTCCCGCAAGGCATTTGATGCAGAAGTGGCCGCCCAGGTGGGACTTTTCACAATGGCATGATATGGCCAGCATGGCCATTGGGCCTTTGGGCGCTTCTGAGGTGAAAGAGGTAGAAGAGCGGTTGCAGGCCGGGCTCAAGCTCTGAGAGATCTCAAGGCCTTCCGGGCTCCGCTCTCAGGTCTTGACTGTGGAGATGAAGCAGGTCGAGGCCTGGTGGCCGGGCTGACAAGGTGAGAGTTTCTGACGCTGAGTTTCAGGGCAAGATCAAGCACTGTATGCTGGAAGCCAAGAGGGCAGAGCTCACAGAGAAGGCAAGTCGCCAAGCTGCCAAGCTGCAAAGCTGCAAAATCGTCTTGGAATTCGGAGGAGCTGAAGCCCATGCCGGACACCCTGAAAGTCTACAGACAGGCAGTTGACTTTCTGGCGTGGTCAGGCATGGCATTGGGTGCAGGTCGGCAAGATGTTCATCCTGCAGCCGAAGGCTGACATGGCAAAGCAGGCTGCCCAGGTTGCTCACGACACAGAGAGCTATCCCGCGATTGAATCGGTGCTTCGCAAGGTCCCTCAAAGCGCAGGTGGCAGTGAAAACCCTGGAGTGTCAAGGACTGCAGCAGGCGTCCTCTCGAGGTTTCCCGTGACATCTCGTGGCCCGGTAACTGCAATGTTTTCGTGGTAGGCACGCAACAAGATCCAGGAGAAGGTGAAGAGTGAGGCCACTGGGCTGCGCGGTTTTTGCTTCTCGTTTCCTTTTCCTTGAGGCCGATGGCCTGAAAGAGCTCATTGGTCCAGAGAGGAGCGTGCGGAAGCAGAATACATATTTATACTATACAGACTATACACATGTACAGACACACACACACACCCACAATTGTCTATTCAAACTGGGCACTGTCAAGGGACGGTGTTGAAAGGCAGTCCGGGTGAAGTCAGTCGTTTCCTCTTCTTTGTTTTGAGGGGGAGGCGGGGATCTTGGTTTTGGCGTCTCCATCACTTGTGCGCAGCAACGGTGGGCATTGGCGAGGATGAAGCAGCTCTTCCAGTCGGGAGGCCGCGACTCGTGAGTGCCCGCATAATACACGAGTTTGGTCAAACAGTTGAAGTGATCGATGGTGGTAACCACATCAAGCAGAAATATGTTGTGAATAGATCTTCCAGAGTTATCTAAAATTTTGCAGGGCCCGTATTGCCGGCTCAGGCGCACCGGAGGTGCCAGCAGGCGAGCGCGCTCGATTCGCCATGAATTGATTCTTCGGTGTGGGTATTTGCACACTTCTTCAGTTGCTGAAAAGCTGACTGGCCTGTCAGCTTTTGCAGTGTTCCCTGGCACGGTAGGTGGCACAAGACCCGAGGATGCTGTGATGCCGATTTTCGGCAAAGAGAGCAAGGCGAGCGGCGCTCGGCTCGTCACGCAGTGGCCTTGCTGCAGGCCGCACAAAGTGAGGCAGAGAGCAAGCCGGCTGAAAGCGCCTGGGCAGCAGTCGTTTCGCGGTCGAGAGGTGGAAGGCAAGTAGCTCAGGGTGTGCATGAGTTTGATCTAGCCAGATGAGGAGAGCCCAAAGAAATGCTGCAAGAAACATGTATTTGGGGGACATGTCAAAGGATTTGTGGGTTGTGCAGCCATGTTGCACAGACCTGGCTCGGCTGAGGTTTGAGCCCCAGCAATATTGTGCAAACATTTTGATTGCAGATGCAGGAGCCAAGCGTTTTTTCCACGGATCCACCCATGTTACGAAAGTCCTCCAGCTTCGAACAGCATATCTCTTTGCGTTAATTATGAAAGATTGTGAGGAGGCCAGGCCACACAACGCTGCAATAGGTGGCCGGGAATTCCTGGATAGGTGCAGATCGTCTAGATCAACCGTCACTGGCAGAGGGATGAAAGCTTGAAGCTGCGCAAGTCGTTGAGCCAAAACCAATAGCTGCATGAGTACTCAAGCCCGCGTCCTGTGAAAAGGGTCAGCTTCAGCCGACGGCGTACTTTTCAGATATGGGTGTTTCTCAAGTCCAGGGACTGGTGTCGCCAGAAAACGCCAGAAATTCAGAAAGGGTTTCCAGAGCCGAGGTGAGAAAGCCGGCAAGGCGCGGGGTGCTTCTCCCGCTTGCGCAGCGCGAGCATCTCAGGCCCCCGAGTCCGTGGAGGTGTGAGGCGCGCAGGGAATTTGAGGAAAAGGACTCTAAACTAAAAAAACTAACAGGGGTGCAAATTGCAAGATTTCTGGTGGTTCCTGTGTCGTTAGAGTTCTGGTTGAAAGTAGGGGACGTTGGTTTGCCGTCCACGCCTCACAAGAGGGCACAGATTTAAATTTGAAGACCTTAGCATACCACAAACGTAGTATCGAATAGAGGTCTGATTTGTGAAAATTCACCGAAGGAAAATGAACAAAGCGAACTCGAATTAACAAAAAGTAACGCATGGCTTGCCGTGCCCCCAGGCCCTGGAGACCGAGCTGAGCTGCCGGCCATGGGCGCCCACGCGCCCAAGCGCCCGGAGCGCGCCGGCGTGCAGTTCCCGCGAATTCGGCTCCCAACGAGCAGAAAGGTGAGCACGAGCGCGCTGGTTCGCTCAGGGTGGGGATGGTGGTTTGCTTGCAAGGCACAGAGACAGCTGTTGTTGTTGGGAGGGAGAGATCTCCAATTCAGACGTGATGCTGGTGCACTCAAAGCTCAAACTTGCAGCGAATGCCAGCACTAGTTGAAGGAAGTCAATGCCGCATGTTTGCCACAGAGTTGCTTTGCTTTCCGCCCTCAGCAACTAGTCGCGTTTACGTTTCAACATGTCGTAAGTAAGAAGAAGGAATCGCCTCGTGTCCTTCTCCGAGTTCGCCCTCGCCGTTTTTAGCCCATGGCACCTGACGGAGGCCGAAAGCAGCTCGAGGCCCGAACGCCGCATTGAACGAGCGGCAGGGAATGTGGGGCTGGCCGCGCTGAGCGTGGCCGTTCTGTTGGGTATCCTCGGCTTGTCCCGCAGCCCAGACAAAGCCAGGCAGCAAGTTGAACCTTTTGCTTACACGAACCGGTCACGCCCAGGTTTGCATTCTTCGCTTTGCGCACCAAGACAGCGGCTGAGGAGGATAATGAAGCAGCCTTAGCAGGCGACTTGCGCAGATGTCAATGCTGTGAGGAGGAGAAGCAGAAGCAGCTGCCCGCTTAGCTTGTGAGCACATTTCTCATGAATTTGCCCGACGCTAGGCAAGCTCCGCGGCCCCCTTCCCAGTCTTTGGCGGTCAAATGCGAGCTGCACTTCCAGAATGTTTGTGAGAACCCTTTCGAGCATTCAGGCGGCGTGGCGCACTTGACCGTATGCAAAGAGGCAGGGTATCTTACGAGAAGTTGACTCTTTCGTGGATGCGGGTTTGCAGTCCTGTCTATTTCTTTCCCTCTTTCCCTCTTTCCCTGAGGTGCTCGTGCCGCTGGGGAGGCAGAGGAGGTGGGCAAACCGAAGTAGTTTTGGCGCCTTCCCTGGGAGCGCCGGGGGGGGGGGGGGCCCGGGGGGGGGCAGGCCGACGAAGGGAAGAAGACGAATGCGCTGAAAGAGCAGAAGAAGCAGGTGCGAAGTGGGCAATGTGGGAAGGTGTGAAAGGTGCGACTGCTTGAAAGATCAACGGAGAATGGCTTGGGCGCAAACGCATGTGCATCGCCAAAGCGATCCCATGAGAATCGAATTGGCCGTTTGGCCTACAAGGAGAAGCGAGCGAATCAGCAAGCGCAACAACAAGCCGAGCGCGAGGTCTCGGGGGGTAGCGCGGCAGTTGTTCCTGGAGCTTGCGAAAGCAAGGCGCAGCAAGTGAAAGCAGAGAAGAACGCAAAGTGCGCCGCAGGTCAGTTTAGCCTTGTTGTCTTTTGGACTTATTGACTCTGTCAAGGTACAGCCAGAAGCAGCAAGAACGGGAAGCCGAACGATTGCGCAAGGAAGCCGAACAGGAGCAGGCGTGAGAGGAACGGGGTGTGTCGGCTTACTTCGGAGTTTGAGCCGTAGGCCAGGAAGGAGAAAGAACAGCAGGAGCAAGAAGAGTTCAGCAAGTGGGCCTCCCGTGCTTTCTTGTCGCTTGTCGCTTGTCGCAGTTCGTGTTTTCTCCAGATGGAAAGAGATGTTTGCCGTGGAAGCGGAGGGCGAGGACCGTATCTCCCAATGCGAGTTTTCGACCGCACTCCGTTGGTGTACTTGGCCAGGACGACGGTTCCATTGGGGAGTCCGCTGTTGAGAAGTGCCCCTCCGTTCTCGGAGCAAAGTTAGTGCCTCTCATGTCAGGTTCATAGACTATGTCAAGCTCCGGAAGGTGGTGAACCTCGAGGTGCTGGAATTTGTCTTTCTTTTCTTGGTTCAATCGAGTTCTCCAACACACACACACACACCTAAAGCGGCCACTTTAGTTGGTGGCACCCTTTTCTGACTAGTTTCATGCAGGTTGTGGTAGAACCCAAATACATCTTTGTAACTCTGTGCGAACCAAAGTTTGGGCGCTCAATGTGGGGAAGCCCCTCAAGCGAAAGGCAAGGCACCTCAACCACATCGAAACAGTCAAGTTATGGATTGGGGGTATCTTGGGGTGTGGAATTCCTGTTCAAAGCTGGGAAGGGGTTCGCGACAGGGTTGGCTGATGGATGCCTCGTTCGGGCGGCGTTCCGCCGAGCGCGAGGACTTGGCGGCCGAGTTTCGAATGCGCACAGTCGCCGCCATCAATCGACTAGAAGAGTTGGAGAAGATGGGTGCCGCGCTGAAAAATTGCTTCGTGCACAGCAAACTGCATCCCATCGCGCATGCAATTTCGGATGTCTCTGAAGCGCCACGATTTGTAGCGCTGCACATTCCGATAGGCCGACTCAGCGGCATCTTTGATGACCGGGGGAAGTACATCTACATCACCGTAGAGGCTCCGCAAGTCCAGATCCCGCGACGGATAACAGCCACAGTTTCTGCAGGTACAGAATCCCTGTAAGATCCGAAGTCCCAAGTCATTTTTCCCAGACAATGGCAAGTGGAGCAGACTAAACAAGTTTGCACAGGAGATGGCCTCAGTGGCTGAGTGGCTGAAGAGAAAAGGCCGAGTCAATCGGGCGGTCCGCGGCTTGGATCGCTCGGGTTGCAGATGGCCTTTGGGCTGTGTTGGCTCAAAAGGAGCCCAAAGCAAAATGTGGAGCCCATTTTGGAGGTTCCCCTATTTTGCCACATACCCATATGGCCCATATCCTGCTTCTTTTTCCTTAGGACTTGGTGGCTGGTTGCAACAAGCTCATCCGCCTCAATCCAACGGAGGAGGACAAGGAGCTCCGAGCCGAGCCCCGATGCTCCGACGCCCGACGCGGGGGTTGGTTTCAATGGGTCAGGAGAAGCTGGATGCCGAAGCTCGCACCGCAGATCTGGGAGGACTTGGGCTCATCTTGGGCTCAACTTGTCGGCTACGTTCTACCTCTGCCGCGTGTATTAAATCCGACCCAAGACGATTCAGCCATCCTTCTATTTAGATGGTGAAGGTTCCGACAGACTGCAGTTGGGCTTTGAGTTCTGGTCTTTCTCATAACTCTTGGAACAAGCTGGATTCCGTTTGAAAGAAGGAATTACCTCATCAGCTGCAAACATGTCCCAAAGCACAAGCCCGGTTGCTAGTTGACCTTGCTGGCCTCTTCAAGAGATCGAGTCTAAGCTTGCAACCATCTTGGTGCATGTCGTTCTTTGGACTCCACGACAGGCGAAGCTGAGGGTGAGACCTCGAGAGAGTGAAAAGCAGAAGCGTTGGTGTGAGACATTGAGCGCTTCCCGGAATCTCATGGCAGGGAAATCGTCACTTTTTGGGTCCCCAATGTTTCGACATTTGCTCCTTGGCCGCAGTTTTTTCCCACGACTTGGGCGTGAACACGTGCGTCGCGCTGCTTGGGCTCGAAGTGCTCGTTTAGTTCCGGGATCATTGCCCTTTTGAGATTGGGTCGGAAGCTGAGTCAGCCGCTTCTTTTCAGCTTTTACCTTGCCACCCGCAGGTGAGGGCGTGATGTAAGTTTAGACAGTTCCAACTTACCTTGATTTGGGTCGGCCTTGAGTCCCAGATTCGACTCAAGTGCACTTTGGACCCCGCGCTCTCTCGAGGCCAAGATGACCAGGCCGGCGAAGCTTCAAGGTTTCGATGCGACGTGTTACCGTTGAGCTGGAGGCCTACGAGCAACATCTCCCGACGCCGGCCAGGGTCCACGCCCCAACTCGGAAGAAACTTGCCAGATACGCAAACAAAACCCGGATAAGTATCGGTTTGTATATTGGAGAGTCGCCATAGGTGCGGATATCCGCCCTTTCGAATCGTTGCTTAGTTTTGGGTAGAACTTCTGTTTGTGGCTCACTTGAGGCTGGCCGTGGCGGTCCTGGTGCTGGGCGCGTGGCAAGGCGTGGGGCGCAATTTCGGCCAACGCCATCCCACCGTCAAAACTACATGAGCAGCCCCCAAAATCCTCATTGGCCATTTTAGTAGGTGGTTCTTTTACATGTTTTCGTGGCGCTTATACCAATGCCTATGTATGACCATGTTGGTAGCACCAAAAGCCGATGGAGTTTTGGCGCTCGAAATTATTGGCTATCTGATGTCGGTTTGCGGAGGGCAAGAAGGGTGGGAGGGACGACAACCATTTTCCATCTAAGGAGAGCTCTCCTTCTTTCCAGTCCGGGCCATGAGCGAAGACTCGTGTCTTTACATTGAAGATGCCTTTTGGATTTGTTGGTTGCTTTGTAGTTAGGGACTACCGTATCATCCACGGCTTTTTGTATTAGCCCCTCGTGACCTGATTGAGGAGAAAGCTATTGGACCATGGGCCATTTCCCGAGTTCTGGATCAGGATACAACTTCCTGGGCCTCAGCGAGGCGTCAGCGAGTGGTTTGCATCCGGAACATTGTTGCTATTCCTTTTGTGCTGAGGTTATCCCTGTTGCTGTTGGGGAACTGCGGGTTATGGGTTTTCTGTTGCTACGCTTTGGAGAACTGCATTTTTTTTTGGGGGGTGCTTTCTTTCTCTGAGACGAGCCTCGCAATGAAGGACGGCAGCTTCCGCGCGAGGCTCCCAAGAAGCCGCCGCCGCCGACCACGCGCCACGCCTCGGTGGTCGACAGCCTGAAAAACCCTGCCTGCAGCCCGGAGCTCTCGGATTTCTGAAAGACGGCCGTCGGGGCCGTCTGCACTGGGGGCACTCGGACCCGAGAACCTCCCACCCAACAGAAAGGCATCTGGCTTAACTTTTGAACACCCAAAAGGGTCTTGAAGCAGCACACTCAAACAGAAGTACAAACACATAGTTGGAGCCCTAGGTGAAAACCGTCTCGGAGACGATTGATGATTTCTACAAGGCCGGGTGGAGTGCCTTGTTTGGGTCCGTTGGGTCCTTTGAGTCCTGAGCCACTATTGCGCACAAGAAGGTCTTGCGCAACTGCGGATCGGTGACCATTGGCCCAGGAACAGAACTCACACGCATTCTGGATTTGTGCCTAGGCCTATCCCCAGCCACCAGTGTTGCCAATGCCTCTCAGCCGCAATTAGCACACGTCACCTGCGGCACCAGCCAGCCGTGCGAGCTGTTCGAGCTGCGTCACGAGAGCAGAAGCCTTCTCAAGGTATAGGAGCTTCCTGGTCGACTTCATCACTCAGACTGCCCGCCTCACAGAGTCGTGCGCATTTTAACGCGCGCTGAGCTGACAAGTCTTGGAGCGTCGCTTGCACCCGCCAGCACCTGACCAGCGTGGACTCTAGATTCAAGTATGACGCCATCTTCGCCTTGGGCATGAGGCCTGCCTTGGCCCAAGGGCCACGTTTTTTGACTTGGCAACTGGCAGGCACTACTTCACCGGCCTGATGGGCAACTACGATAAGTTGGTGATGAGCGTGTCTCTCAGTTTCCAGCCGAGATCCTCATCCTGGTTGTTTTTTCACAACGAAGCCGAAGCCTCATGTTGAGACACTGCCTGTGGGGCCAGCAAATTTTCAGCCCAATTGGTGGTTTGGATTGGTGGGGATCTGAACTCGACCCTTTGAAACCAATTCCTTCCCCCAACCAAATCCATCCACCAAATGGGGGTCAGGAGAAATTTTGCCCAGCTCCCAGACAGGTGAGGAATCCGAGAAGATTTGGAAGGCCCTGGTGACAGCCATGGGCATGAAGCCAGATCAGGCGCGCAAAGTGCCTTCCGCGCGGCGTGGCTCGTGGTAATTGTCCTCATCAGATCAGGGCTTTCCGTTTGGTTTCACGACAAAGTCAACCCCAAAAAAGGGGGTGTTCGGCCAGTCTTAGTTTGGTTTCCTTTGGGGTTGATTGCTGGGGGACATCTATGGAAGCTAGTGGAATGTGTCAACACCAAGTTGGACCCCTTTGGGACTCGGGACCGTTTTCGACTGGATCGCAAGAGAGGCGATTTGGTTTGACACTGAGGTTGTCGCGGATGCAGAGACTGTTGCCAGCTACGCCAGCGCCTGCCTCGGACCTCAATGGCTGTGCCCTTTCCTTTTGAAATTTTGGTTCGCCTCCAAAGGACCTTGAGTCTTTTGATTTTTAATTTTCTATTTGACACGAGCCGTTGAAGTCCATCCCCGCGACTCCTAGGCTCTACCTCCCCAGCCGACATTCTGAAGCACATGGAGGACGAGCGAATGAATGAACGATTGCCCCAAAGTGGCTTGTGAGGCGTGCAACTCAACAGGTGGGCGCTCCTGGGGCAACCTCCCATTTTGCAATTTGAGTGGGCGTGTTTGAGATGTCCCTCGCTTTGCAACCAGAAAGCACACAGCGAAACAGCTGCCAATTTCGCAGGTCCGATTCCATTTCCCCCGCTTTCGGGGGGCGTGACGTTGTTTTAACACCCTTATAGTTGTCTCGAAAGGAACACCCAGTTTAGAAGTGAACCAGTTCGGTCAGAGATGTCAGAGCAATTGAACAGACATCAAGATGTCGCTTGGTGGTTTCTCACCCCCTCTCCCCCTTGGACGCTAAGGATTATAGTTAATGCCCCGCCCCCATTACGTCGTTGTTTTTTTCTTTCTGGAGAGAAAGACCGCCGGGAGGCGCCCGCGCCCAAAGTCGCCGCACGCGTCGAGTCGCGCAGGGCACGGAGAAGGCCTCGGAGTCCAAAGTGGGCGCCGCCTTCGAGTCCATCAGGCGGGAACCGTCGGGTGAGTCTCTGAGGGGCGTGTAAATTTGTAAAGGTTCATTAAGTTCATTACGTCGATTTTCGTGTCTCGAGCAACTGGACCACTTGGTCTGCTCTTGGTATGAGGTTTTTAACAGGGCGCAACCACAAAACGCCAGGTGCGAAATGTCAATTCTGATCAATTCTGATTCTTCGTAGTTTCCTATCCCCCCTTTTGGCGGGTCTTCCAACCATCAAAAATGCCGGGGCTGCTGCGAAGTGGGCGAAAGGTCGTCTCTTTACAGCATTACCTTCAGCATGGGCCTCTTCCGCATCATGGAGCTGAGCCTGGGCCCCTGCAAAGATCTCGTGGGGCGGACACCGCACGTGCACAGAGACCCTTTTGAAAGGGAAACACCAAGGGAAGCATTTCTCTTCAAATTGGGCAACAGGCATCAAAAAGTGATAGTCAACTCACGCATGAGGCATGCTAGGTGAGGATACCTCTTTCGGCGCTGTCGAAAACAGCAACGCTGAAAGACTGCTTTGAAGAATCAGAAGCAAACGATTCCACAGAGACCGGAACAATGCTTGCACAGTTGTGTGCCCAGCGCAGACTCCTGCGTGCCAGGAAATCTATAAAAAGGACAGAACCAAGCGTGCAATGGTGACGGCATGTAAATGGGGCAAATCCAGCGCGACTTCCCATGAAGGTGGCACCGCAATATAAGCACTTGACCATGTATAATATACTCTTCTGCCGGCGCTTTTAAACTGAGGATGCTTGAATCACCTATGACTTGCGCCATGCAGGAACAGACGTGGGACATGGGCCCAAAATGCAAGCCCTTAAGAATGATTCACCGAGGTGGCGTCGACGTCACGAAGGCCAATGCGGAGGAATGGGCTAAGGCATTGAAGATCGAGCCTCCGCCGGGGCCGCTCAAGATGCGTGCACTTGGCGTCCGGTCCACTGTCCCACTCTTGTGACAGAAAAGGCAAAAGCAGTGTCAGTTTGTGGACATTTCGGCGTTGCCGGGTTTAAGGCCACGTTTCCGTTTCAACAGGTCCAGATTTGCCTCATGGATCGATCAGGTCGAAGGTCACCTCAGACTTTGAGACCTACAAGTCCTGCTGCCGCGGTTTTGCCCGCATAAGCCTCACGTCTAACATGGAACCCTGGACCTGATGCATTTGTTTGGACTATTCCCCTAGTTTCCAGTTCTGCAATGAGGGGGTTGAAGGACCGCGCACCGCCTGGCTCTTTTGCCAGGCAGAACCAGGTGAAGCTGCAGAAGGCGGAGGAGATGCTTCGAGAGGCGCGCGGAAATCAGTTGATTCATGGATCCACTATGGCGATTGAATTCTTGTCTGAATCCTTCAAGGACCCTCTTTTTTAAATGATTTTTAATGGGACCCTCAGGGGCCATGGCCCTGGGCGTTCCCAGGTCCATTGGTTTTCATTCGGCCTGGGACCGTGACACTGGGAAGACGATTCGCCCAGTCGGGGAAGGTGAATCGACAACTGCGATTTAGGGATCGGTGGGTTTGGCTTAGGGCTTGGTTTGGGTTTAGCGAACCTGGCGGCTCAGGGTCCGTCATTGAATTGAGTTTGGTTTCAGTTTGGAGTTGTTTTTCTTTCTTTTTTTTTCTGAAGGCTTGGTTTGGGTTTCGGGCTCGTCGCATAGCGGTTGGTGTAGGGATTGGTTCGAGGGGCCGGTGTGGTGTCACATTTAGGCCATCAGAGTTGGAGTAGGCGTTGGTTGGCACGGTGCAGGTTGGAGGCATTGGCAGGGTTAGGACTGAGGACCAATCACTGTGGGTGGGATTATCACGCTTCAACAGATTCTCCTGTTGTACCGGCGAAACGAAAACGTGCGCACCCTTATCAAGATGGTTTTAGACAACCACTAGTAGGCCTTTGATCAAAGGCGCTTTGACCGTTCATTGCGCTTCCACAGATCGAGATCCGCGAGAAGAAGAAGCTTGCAGAGAGGCCATGGACGCTGTCAAAAGAGCATACCTCCCGAAATGATATTCATTCACTTTGCCTCTTGGTGGTTTGGTTTGACTTCCCACTTCCTTTTGGGACATGGAATTTAATTACCCTGGAACAAACCAAACCATCAAGCCCCAAACCACCAAACCAACTCACAAATGGCGGGCAAGCAAATGCGCGGCGCAACTTCAGAACTCCTGATGCAGTTGTGACCGAGGCTCGAGGCTAAAGCGAAGGCGCTTGCAGAGAAGGCTGCAAAGAAGGATGGGATGTTCGAATCCACGTGAATTCTCCGTAGCGGACAGTGTTTCTCGAAAGCAGCAAAGCTCGTTGGCATTTCCCTTCAAGTACCAGAAAAGAAGAACAATACCAACATTCCCCGGCTCAGCGGTTTTTTGCGATTTTTACGTTCTGCAGAGTAGGATCTCAATTGGGGCAGGAGCCAGAGGCAGCTGCCTCGTGAGCAAGGCAACCTGTTTCCCACCGGGCATTGGGAGATGTCCTTTATATAGGGACCAATTTCTGAGTGGTCAACTTCTGTTGGCCATGGGAAGAGTTTCGAGCAATTTTCACGGCGCGAGCAGTTTGCGTCAGCCGCGGTTTGAAACTGTTGCAAGATTGAAGACTGGCCTTGCTTTGGCGGTTGACACGCGCGCCTTTTGCAACACAGACTTAAACTGTTCAAGTCAAGCTCCTTGAACGTGATACTGGGCATAGGCCTGAAGCCAGAAACACAACCACAATAATATAGAACCCTTCGGCACATCCAAAAGTGAGGGACTGGTACAGCTTTTTCTCTGTATTTTTCGAGACACGCGAGAGCTGGGCTCAAAACTAGGTGATCGCAGTCGCGAAGCACCTATTGCATGTGCACATGGATCTTGCACTCCTGGTGCTTCCCTCTGAAGCTTTTTGGCTCACCAGGGAGGGTCTCGGCCGTGGGCCCATTTTCGAGGGCCACAGCAGGATTGGTTTGCCTGCGTCTGGTTTTTCTGGCCAGAGTTGCAAAGGTCATGTCAATTGCTTGGTGCTTTTGTGTGACAGTCAGGACGCAGAACATCCATGTCTGCACCAATCGTTTATACACAGCCAGCCGTCAGTTGCTCAGACCGCAGCCAAGAATGTGAACAGAATTCAAATTCTGATGGTCAGGCCGCCGATGCAGTCTACACTTTGCCGGCTGACCGAACCCCAGATTCTGTCGTTGCCACGCGGAAAACCAGCTTCATCTTGAGGACAATGCAGTGTATTCCCCGTCCAGAGCAGCTCATGACTTGACCTTAGCTTGAGAGAATGGAAGGCGTGCGTCCCACGGTTTCCACGGTTTCATGTTAGGCCGGGGGAGCATTGTGGGCGCAGGGCGCGCCAGCAGCTGGGCTGGAATTGGTTTGCCTCGATCCGGTTCCTTCGATAGCACCAGTGGGCATCACCAGGGCATCTGCAGGGTGCCGGCTGACTGACAGTGCCGTTTGCCTTATGCGCTTGACAGTGCAGGTGATAGCGGCGCCTACCGGCTACTACGAGTCAGCACCCTCAACGACGTATCCGGTGACGGTGACGAAGCCTGGCAGAAGGGAGGGCTTAACAAGAAAGTTGCTTTAAGGGAATGCATGCCAAACAAAACTGCCATGACTGCCCTCCGTGAGTTTCTCAAATCAAATCATAGTGCTAATGGCTTACACGAGGCTACATGGTAAAGCTCGCAGTTCGTGCAAGTTCAACCAAGTAGAGCCAAGCGGCCAAGATTCCATGACTTTGACAAGACACCCGGAAATCGCCATGGCCTCGATGGCCACGCGGCGCTGGCTGTTGGCCTGCCTCTCCTTCTGTCCCTTCTTGCTCTCCCCCAGCTGGGTAGGGCCTCTCGGCACGCGCCGAGCCCAAAGCTCTCGCAGCTCGGCCCTCCGTGCGGTAGCGCTGAGCCGCATCACCACGGGGGACACGCTGCTGCAGAAGCAGAAGCTGGAGGAGGACGAGGAGCCACGAGATTGAAGTTGCCACTAAGGCATTGGTATTTAAAGCGAAGGCACAACTTGTATCACATGGGTTAAATTTGCCGCAGGAGCGGCTGAAGAGCCTAGCGGACTTTGACCTGGGCATGCCGGACGTGAACGACCTGCCGGAGATCACGGCTTTGATGGTGGAGTGCTTCGACCGCATCATCGCCAAGAAGCGCTGGGATTCGAAGATCCCCTTCTCTGAGTATGTGAATCCCTTCATCGACCAAAACGAAGTGAAGGAGATCGCGCAAGGGGTGCGCATGCGCCTGGACGTGACGCTGCAGTTTCAGTCCTTGCGGCGCCCCATCAAGCAGGATGAGAGCCCCGGCTAAAGTTTGTCCGTGCCTTGGGTCGCACCAAGCTCCCCTCAAAAGAAATCGGTCCTTCTTTTTGCTGTTAGGAGCGTGGCATTGGTGGCCAGGGAGAAGCAAGGAGGCCCGCTGGTGGCTTACGTGGAGATTTGCATTCTTCCCAATGACGGGCGTCGCCCGGAAGACGATGATGGCAAGACGACCAGCGGCACCACCCGGGAGCCGTACCTTAGCAACCTCTGCGTGAGCCCTGCATACCGAAGGTCCGGTATCGGCCGGGCGATGCTGCGTTTGGCCGAGGATGTCATCAGGTTCATATGGAAGGACGAGCGAATATATCTTCACATTGACAATTACGACCCCGCCAGGCTGCTCTACGAGTCTGAAGGTTTTGTGGCCACAGGCCCCATGGATTCAGAGCAGGTGACGCACATGATAAAAGGGCTGCCCCCCTTGGAAGAGGAGGATGAGGACGACGAGGATGCGGAGGATGAGGAGGAGCTTCCGGCAGAGGCAGAAGCCGAGGCCGGTGAGCCGCTGGCTTTGCCCGCTGGCGAGTCGGAGTGAGGCCTTTTTCCCCGACCATCGCTGCGCGAAAAAGAGTGGAGCATGTGGAGCGAGAGTGCCTTGTAAAGCTCACTGAGCCAAGTAGCAGATCTGACCCAGCCCAGGAAGCCTGCCACGACCTACACCACGAGCACTCCTGTACCATATGCCTACACCTCGCCGTACACTTCGCCGGTCACGGTCACTGCCCCCTACCCCGGGACTGCGCCGTACTCCGCGCCTGTCACGGTCACAGCCATGACCTCCGCGGCCCCCGCAGTAGAGGTCTCCACCATGGAGTGAAGCTCAGAAAGCAAGTGAAACTCTCGAAGCCTGAATGTAGGTTGAACGGAGTCAACCAGCTGGACATAAATCCGCTGTGTTCCTGTCCATTTGACCCATCCAAGTTGCAAATCCCGGGCGTCCGGCCTCAGGCTGCGCCCTCGGTGTCTGTGCCGGCGACTTCGTGGCGCTCTCAGTTCTCCTCAGGGGCCAGTTTTTCCAGCAGAATGATCTTGAGGGTTGATAGAGAATCAGCAGTTCTCCATGTGGATTCGGGCACAAAGCTTGGGCTTGGAAAGCCGGCTCAATTCTGAGGGGTCAGCTGGCGTCTTACGCACCTTCGCCGGAGACTCAAGCTGTTGGTTTCGTTTCTCAAAGTCCCAGAACCTGCGACGGGGTGAAAAGGGGGATAGGCATCAAAAAAGCTTATTAGGGATCACAAAAAAAATATTAGGGATCAAAACAACTTATTCTCATTGCTATGGAGAAGGAAGGAAGGAAGGAAGGAAGGAAGGAAGGAAGGAGGAAGGAAGGAAGGAAGGGAGGAAGGGAGGGAGGGAGGGAGGGAGGGAGGAAGGGAGGAAGGGAGGAAGGGAGGAAGGGAGGAAGGGAGGAAGGGAGGAAGGAAGGAAGGGAGGAAGGGAGGAAGGGAGGAAGGGAGGAAGGGAGGGAGGGAGGGAGGGACCCAACCATCCGGCTGATTTGCAGAATGTTGACAGTGATTCACGCACTCCTTTGTTGAAGCATCACATCTTCGAACATCATGGGGGCGGCTGCCCCCCCCCCAACCCTCCTGCTGGTTTCTAGCATGTTGACAGAGATTAACGCCCCTTGCTGAATCATTACTTCTTCGAGCATCATGGGGGGGGCCGCCCCCCCCAATCCCCCTGCGAAAGTGCTGCGCCTGCCGCGAAATCTATACCGTACCTTGCGAAAGTGCTGCGCTAGCCGCGAAATCTGTACCTGACCTTGCGAAAGTGCTGCGCCTGCCACGAAATCTGTACCTGACCTGAAAAGTGCTGCCCATGCCACGAAATGAAGAAGTGTTTTTTGATCCCTAAGAAGTTTTTGTTGATCCTCTGAGTTTTTATTTGAATAGGAAATCCAAAATAATAAGTTGTTTTTGACCCCTAATACGTTTTTTTGAGCTTCAGGAATAAGTTTTTTTTGATGCCTAAAAATTTTTGTTGATCCCTCACCCGTGTGAAAAGGGGGGTGCGCGAGGCAGCCCCAGGTGTACCGCGTCACCAGCGGCGGAGTGGTGCCGCATACCGTGTCGCCGCAGCACCTCACCCAAATTGATTTGGGCAGGAACCAGTGGGAAGCACTCTCAAGGCAACGCAGCAATCCAAACTGACGAAACTGACGAGTGACTGGCTAAGGAGTTCTGTGACATACACCACCAGCACGCCCTATGCCGCGGCGCCGGAGCAGTATGGCTATTCCATGCCCGCCATGCCTGGATCGTATTCAGCAGTTGCCTCAGCACTTCCGACTCCCTTAATTGCGGGCCAGGAATCCCATGGGTCAGATGGCTTGAGGCGGCGCCATGCACTGCCACACCTGCGAAGTCGTGCCTCGGCGGTTTGAGCCAAAAGCCGCAAGCTGCAGAGGTGGCCAAGCTGTGCCAAGCGGTTTGGATTCGACCCAGGGGTGGCAAGCTTTGGAGGTTGGTTTCCTTACCATTCAACAACCACCCGAAGCGTTGTCTTTTTGCGGGTAATGTGAGACCAGCTTACATTTTACATGTGCTGTGCATTCAACCCACCCCTCGAGTGCGTGATGTTTTGACGATCGCTGGCTTCACGCACACACCAATGCCCTAGAAAGCTGGCGCGAGAGACGCCAGGTACATGCCCCCGCCATCCTCCTACTCGCCGCCCTTGTGGGGCCCTTGGAGTTTTCGGTCAAGTGCGCTTTTTGAGGGTACCCTTTTCAGCTTGGCTTTGGAAGAAACCACAAGGCGAACCACCTTGTTTAGGGGTTTTCTTCACGCTGTTCATTCCCCTTATTGCGACGCATACCCACCTTTCAGGATGATCGTTCTGAAGCTGACACAAAGAGGCTGAAAGGCAGTTTTTGGGATTGAATCTGTGACACTTGCACAGGACAGACCCATGGATTCTGTACAACACCTCGAGCATCCCAGACTTGAAGCATGCCACAAATGCGTCCAGGAAAAACGATGTGACCCTAAGAATGGCAGTCGAAAAGCTTTGAGGACGTAGCACCTTACCGCTGACACGTGTCATAGGAGAAAGCTGCAACAAATTTCACCAGATTTAGGGTAAAAGCAACCCTGAGGCACGTTGCGATTTGATTTTAAAACATGTCTTCCTGTGTCCTTTAAAAAAAGGGGGTTCCCTTTTGCGCTTTTTGGCAAAAACAAGCCAAAAGGAAAGTCACTTTGGGGCTTGGATGTTCGACATGAACTCGCAGCCCGCCAGGGTCCCTCAGGGCACCACTGGTGCGGTGCCATACGCCGCGGCGCCGCCCAGCCCGGGCCCGGGCCCGGCACCTGCGCCGCCCGGCCCCAAGTGCCCGAAAGAAAGACATCGGCCAGCATTGCCACCCACCCGTGGCGGGATAGGCATCAAAAATACACCAGCCTCGACCCCAAACAGCAAAAAACACATGACCGGTCTGTGTAGCCAAAAAAAGGCTTGTGTCCTTCATGTAAGGTGCGAACTTGTGTAGCTTCTGTGAGCAACACATGGTTACAATCCATGTATGTCCCTGCAGGAAGTCCCCTTTTGTGGGAAGAGGACACATCGGGTCCTTCCATCTCCTTGTCGATGTTGTTCACCGACTTCGAGGAGAAAATTCCATGTCAATGCCACCTGGCATTAATCAAAGGAAGTACTCAATGCACTTTTCCATCACCGCAGCATTTGGTGGCCGTCTCGCTACTCTGCTGAAACTTGCGCATCAGCGGCCGAGACTGGACACATGTCACTTCTGGTTGCTATCTTCTTCTCGAGCTCGGCTAAAGGTTGCCACAAGCACAGCAAGAGAGCGCTTGCGTGCGCCGGATGCTCCCAAGATGGCCAACGCATTGCTTTGCTCCATGCGCCCAGCGCCGCTCCATTCCGGAACAAGCTGGCTGCACGGTGGACGCCACCAGCTTGGCCGCGTTCATCTTGGAGTTGGTGCTTCTGGTTCGCAGATTGGTGTGTGGTGAACGACCGGCGGCCGTCATTTCAGCGCACGCCGCTGGCAACAACTTCTGGGCCTTGCGTTCACTCAGCTCCAGCAGCACAGTAATCAACTGGCCGGGTTCATGAACTCTTTCCAAGTTGTCAAGGTCAGCAAAGTAGGTTGCCAGGGAAAGGCTCCTATGCATCAACCAAGTTTTTCGAGGAGAGCTCGACAAGTGCAGGGACGATGCGAACAACTCTTACAAGCTAATGATTTGGTTGCGGACTCACCCAGGCTTTACTTCCAGGACCATTCTTTCTGAAAACCGGTCAGAAAAAAAACCCTTGGGAGCTCGGACCCCCCCTTACGATGCAACAAGATGATAAGCACGCCTGCTTGACTGTGTGTTCGCTCGTCCCTCTCTGCGATAGCGCCAGATCTCCAAGAGCAAGTAACCAGGAAACCACCAAGCCACTCTGCGATTCGCGAAACGGCTCTTGTTGATGGCCCCAAAAAGAAACCATCAAACACGGCGGCGGCGTTAGCAACTCTTATTAGATTATACAGCACCGAACATGTGTCGAAACATGGCCATGACCGTGTGTCCTTGTTGCAATCACAACATTGAGCGCCAGAGCCATTCCGTAATGTTGCTGGGGAGTTCGCCACGCACGCAGAGTGTCCAGCAGCACCGAAACCTTTTGCTTGAACGGGTCGTAATCGATGTAGTGGAGGCGAAGCTGTGTCGTCAAAGAAGAAATGGATGGACCATGTCTGTAGCATGTGTTGGTCTTGATGCTATCAGCACATCCCTCCAGCTTGGTTTCCCGACAAGCCACGCGTGCTGCGAGCAAGTGAATCAGAATCTCGCCCGGAGCTGCCAAATTCAAGTCGAGATCTCGGAAAAGAACGTTGATTGCAAGAATGAAATGGAATTGCTTGGATTTCCAAAAATACTCACTGCGGGGAGGCTAGCACAAGGGCCATGCAATACAGCTCACGTTGACCTTTTTGGTGTTCCATGGGTCCAGAGACTGTAGGGAAGCTAGTGCAGAGAATAGGCACCTTACGACGTCCCGCCATGACAACCCTTGAGCCCTTGCAATTGCAAGCCCTGGGCACTTTCGGACACCTGCAAAACAGCAGCGTCCGTATTGCGGAATATGTGGAAACAAGGCTGAGAAATCTGTTTTCAACCCGTCTGTCAGGAGGCAACGAGATATGTCAAAGCTGCAACCTTGCCATCAGGAAGGTGTGAAATGCTTCAGCAAAATGCGTTTGTCAGTGGGACTGGATTACATAGTTGCAATGAGGAAAAGCGTTGCAGGACTAGTTAGCGAAGCGAAAAACTGGATATGATTTTGGCCGGACCACATGGCTATCCAACTGAGAAGGTGCTAAATACTGACAACAAGATAGGAGGCAAGGTTTACAACAGCACTGCCAACAAGAAAGGGTGCTCGAACTACAGTGATGCTACCAAGAGGAGACTAGAAGATGGGTGGCCCAAAAGCATGAGCTGCGCACGGCGCCAAACTCTGAACAAGTTTCAATGAGCAAGTTGTCTGAGCAAGCTCTCTGCGCGCAGCGCTTTCCGCTGCAACTTGCTAGCGCCACTTGCTGGTGCTACTTTAGTGCCACTGGCTAGCGCTACTGGCTCGTGCATCTCGCTAGTGCTATCTTGCTCGTGCTACTGGCTTGTGCCATTTTGCTAGTGGCATTTTGCCAGTGCAACTCGCTAGTGCTATCGCTAGTGCTACTTGCTAACGCAACTTGCTTGCGCAACTTGCTGGTGTCATCCGCACACGCTGGATATCTTTCCTGCACCGCCACTTCATACGATTTTGGCTAAGACGGTGGCTGACCCCCACAAGCCCTCTGGCCATTTGGCTGGGCTCTGCACAAGGATGCAAACCAGTCAGTTAAGGCCACTTGGCTGGGCTCTGCTGATGCGCCACAAGGATGCAAACTAGTCAGTTACAGCCACTTGGCTGGGCTCTGCTGATGCGCCAGAAGGATGCACACCTGCACTTGACCAAGAAGCGCGGCGCTGGCTTCCAAAAAGCAGCTCAGTAACCTGAGCAAAGCACTCAGCCGGATGTCCCAGAATATTTGTTTGTCGAGAGTACAGACACGCTTGACAGGGCTCTCTGCTGATGCGCCAGAAGGATGCAAACCTGCACTTGACCAAGAAGTGCGGCACTGGCTTCCAAAAAGCAGCTCAGAATCCTGAGCAAAGTGGCTTCCAAAAAGCAGCTCAGTATCAGCCGTATTTGTCTATTGAAACCAGTCTACATATTTAAGGCTCGACAGGGCTAAGGATGCAAACTTGCACTTGACCAAGAAGTGCGGCGCTGGCTTCCGCAATCAGCCGGGTGTCACTATATATTTGTTCCCGAAAGCATCGCGAAGGGTTCTTTGGAAAAAACGGTTGCCCACCACACAGCCTGACGTGAGCAGCCTAGCTTACGCAGCGGGACTTACTCAAGCTGACTTATGCAGCCTGACCTACGCAGCCTGACTCACGTAGCCTGACTTACGCAGCCTGACTCACGCAGCCTGACTTACGCAGCCTGACTTACGCAGCCTGACTTACGCAGCCTGACTTACGCAGCCTGACTTACGCAGCCTGACTTACGCAGTCTGACTTACGCAGCCTGACTGACGCAGCCTGACCTACGCAGCCTGACTTGCGCAGTCTGACTTACGCAGCCGGACTTGCAGCCTAGCTTACCCAGCCGAAGCTCGCAGCCTTTAATTCTATCTTCTTTCTTAGCCGGGGGCAGGTCTGGCGGGCGCTGGGGGGACGAACCCTCTGCGGGGATCGTACATGTCGAAGCGCTCTCGCTGTGGCGCCGTGCGAATTTTCTACGTCGCCGACGAACCCTCTGCGGGGATCGTGCGTGTCGGAGCGCTCTCGCCGTGGCGCCGTGCGAACTTTCAACGTGGCCGACGAACCCTCTGCGGGGATCGTGCGTGTCGGGAGCGCTCTCGCTGTGGCGCCGTGCGAACTTTCGACGTTCCCGGCGAACCCTCTGCGGGGATTGTGCGTGTCGGAGCGCTCTCGCTGTGGCGCCGTGCGAACTTTCTGCGTGGCCGACGAACCCTCTGCGGGGATCGTGCGTGTCGGAGCGCTCTCGCTGTGTGGCGCTGTGCGAACTTTCTACGTGGCCGACGAACCCTCTGCGGGGATTGTGTGTCGGAGCGCTCTCGCTGTGGCGCCGTGCGCATTTGCACGCTCGCCGCTGTGGCGCCGTGCGAATGTTCTACGTCGCCGACGCACCCTCTGCAGGGATCGTGCGTGTCGGATCGCTCTCGCTGTGGCGCCGTGCGAACGACCCCGGAGCCATCTGGAATCCAGACACAGGGAGCGACCCCGGAGCCCGCGTCGCAGCATCTGGCATCTGACCGCAGAGGCTGCACAGGGAGACAAGCGGGAGACACGACCCTGGAGCCAGCATCACAGCATCTGGCATCTGACCAGAGAGACTGGGAGACAGGAAGACAAGCGGAAAACAGACCCCGGAATCGGCGTCACGCTTTCCTATTCAAGATAGAACCCCAATGCTTCGCTGTTTGGGGAAAAACTTATTAGGGATCAAGAATAACTTATTTTCGCGCGGAGTCAAGGTCGGGCCCTCCTGTGCAGCCGCAACGGCTGACCGAGGGGTGCGCCCTCAGAGATCCAGGTTTCTAAGTTGCTCTTCTCGCGTGTTCGCGTGAGGATTCCGGACCCGCAAGCCATTGAGCAGCAGAAGAGCGCCTATGCCAGGAGTTTGGATGCTCAACTTGAGCAGGCGTGGTGTAGTTCTGTTTCTCCTAGCTTCGGCTCCAAGTAGGGCAGAGGGAACTCTGTGTTGAAGGCTGCAAAAAGCTGTGCGCTCGAATAAATCGGCAGGGCATCAAGATGATTGAGCAGCAGAACGATGTGAAGAAGCAAGCGCTGCGGCAGGCGGAAGGGAAGATGATTGGGAATGAGTCATGCTGAGATTCAACTTGAGCCAGCATCAACATGTGGGTAAGAAAAAGGTGAGGGTTGGTCTCAGCACAGCCCCCAAATGGCCAACTTGGGTGTGGCTCCCTTTCGGAGTGTTTTAGAACCAAAGGTCAACGGAATTGGGGTGGCTGTCATGTGTCAGTCTGTGAGTAGCGCCAGCTTAGGAGGCAGAGATGAAGAAGGAGCAATACTTCCTGCAGGTTGAGCAGCAGCTACGAGCGCAGGAGATGAGCGTGGATCAGCAGGCGTATTGCTTTGCAGAGGGTCTGCATTTCAATGGTTGGGAGTTTCACAAAAACGGGGCCGATGGAAGCTCATACCCGGAACAAGATTTTGGCCGGGTCAGCTTGCATTTGGCAGGCCAATTACCAGCTCATGGGCTTGCAGCAAGCAGCCTTTGAAAGACGCGCCATCTTGGATCAGCAGGCTCCATCTCCTTGTCAAGCATGGCTTGTTGGGGGTTTTCTGAGTGCATCTGGGAGGCAGCTTCGGCGACACTGGAGTACGAGCAGAAGCGCGTCCAGGATGACTTTGCCAAGACGCAGTGCCCTCTCGGGGTCACTGGCACGGAACGTTCCATTGGCATAGATCGCATATTGCTTGCGATTGCCAGGTACGAACACAAGAAGCGGGCTGCACAGAAGCAGGCGCACGATCCAAGCAAGTAGCGTGGTTGAGAGAGATAGAAGAGATAGAGGGAGAGATATGGCGCTGTCTCCTTTTAGCCGACTCCTTAAGAAGGTGCAAATCCCGTTGGTTCCCCTGTACCACGCCCACAAAGACACAAAGAAGGGGTACCCACACCCAGATATTGCAGGCAGAGATGCAGAAGGAGTTGGCGAGGCAGAAGGAGGCGGGCATGCGGCTTCCGCCGATTGCAACGTTGGTTTCCTTTTGCGCACTGGTTTCACGTTTTAGCGGGAAGCCAGGAGGAACTATCTTGGGGGTCCCGCTAAAGTCACACCCATGCCAATGTCTTTGGTTTTTACGGTCTCAATGGCAGAAGAGGTGCTCTTCCCCGGCTGGGAATCTGGATCTTTCTCCTTCCCTTTGAAACCAAGGAGGATTCCCAACATTTCACCCTCAGGCTCTACTTTTCTGTTGAGATCAATTCCTATTGAGCCATCACACACCTTGTCGCAGCCAAAAACCTCTCAGCTTATGTCTTTAAGCTATTAAAACTATTAAAACTCGCAACCCTTGGCGCCGGCGAAGCGAGGAGTTTGCTCGCCAACAGCGTGCCATGCAAGAGGCCTACGCCCAGCAGGCGTTTGGGGGGGCCTGGATTTGACGCCTTTCGGACTGAAAGCGCTCCCCTTGCTATGGGGATTTGGGATGTTTCTCACAGTTTCAGATCTGTTTTCTGGATTCGGAAGGGATTTTGAAGGGCTCGGTCCCTAATTGTGAGAAACACCTTTGTCAGGGTTGCTCCAAGCCGTTCAACCACACAAGAGAAGCTTGGTTTGATCTTTGTTGGTCTCCTTCCAGATTTCTGGTGCCAGAGTCTTCAGAGCAACCCCGTCTTGGTCTTTCAGGGAACCTGAAAGTCCCTAGGCAATTCGGGCAGTTCAGGACCCATGACTTTTGGTTTGCCGGGTTTGGAGAAGCCGTTTCTGCCAAAGTCCCAAGCTCTTTGAGCGCCTGCAAGCCTTTGCTCAGCGGGAGGGCTGACGGGTCGTCAGCTAAGTGGCCCATGAGAATCTTGAACCCAGCAGATGGCCATCTGCTGAAAGCCCCTTTGCGAGACATTTTCCCATGGTCAATCCTTGAGCAGGGGACCATGGGGCTCTGAATTGGTGGACACATTAACATATTCATATACGTTTAATTTCCACCAAAGGGTGCTTTTCCAGTTCGAAGCTGTGTTCTTAAGCCACTGATTGGTTGAGAGACGCACATAAATCTGCGAAAGTCATGTCCACGAAAGGGGCGCCAGTCAAATCTCATAGCCCGTTTATAGTCATCAATCCTTTAGTTGTGGCTTTATTCAAGCAATATACCCATTGGGGTTTGCACATACACGCATACATATCTCTGCATGCATACATAATATATCGTATATGGTCTCTATTTGTCATGGTCCAATCCCCCATGCGTCATCAGGCAGCTGGCCTCGCTGCCGACAGGCAGGCTGTGGGTCAGTACGGCGAGCCTTGGCATGAAGCTTCGATCTGGGCGAATCCCTTTGGTGGGGCTTGGTCCTTTTTTGGGTTGTTGGAAAAGGACACCGATAGGACGCGCCTAAATTTTAAACGGACGGAGTCGATTGCATGGAACTATTAGGCATTGCAAAGAGGATAGTGGGGTATTCCTCACTTTGGAGGGGACTACCCCCTAAAAAGCAGGGGTTTAGGAATCCGGGGTCAACGTTACTGGAACTTTCCTCGGGCAGACCAGAGTCTCCGAGTCAGCTGACCCCCACGCCACAGCTCAGGCTCCCTCCGCTTATCGGCAAGACGCTTATCAGGCGGCACCCGCAGGGTACGGCGCCGGGTATGGTGCAGCTTGGATGCAACACATGTATACCTAAATATGGCACCCCCTCCCCCCCCCTTTGCCTGTTTCTACTGTACCTTTTGAGTTGTTT